AGTTTCTCACAAGTCTAAACATACTCTTATCATAGGATCTAGCAAGTGTGCTCCTTGGTATTTACCCAAATGAATTAAAATGTATGTCTACACAAAAACCCGCACATGAACGTTTATAGCAGCTTCATTTATAATTGCTGAAACTTGGAAGCAACCAAGATGTCCTTCAGTAGATGAGTGGATAAATAAACTGTGGTACATCCAGGCAATGGAATATTATTTGATGCTAAAAATAAATGAGAGCTATTAAGACATGAAAATATGTGGAGGAAACTTAAATGCATATTACTAAGTGAAAGAAGCCAATCTGCAAAAGCTACATGCTGTGTGATTTCAACTCTATGACATTCTGGAAAAGGCAAACTATGGAGACAGTAAAATATTAGTAGTTGCCAGGGATTGGGGGAAGGGGAGGATGAATAGGCAGAGCATGGAGGATTTGGGGGGCAGTGAAACAATTCAGTATGATAGTATAATGTTGTACACATGTCCTTATACATTTGTCAAAACCACATAGAATGCACAGGGCCAAGAGTACACCCTAATGTAAGCTATGGACTTTGATTTTGGTGTCAACGTAGATTTTTTGATTGCAACAAATGTACCACTCTGCTGTGGTATATTGATAGTAGAGGAGGATGTGCACGTGTAGGGGCAAGGGATATATGGGAGCTCTCTATTTTCCAGTCACTATTGCTGTGTACCTAAAACTGTTCTAAAAAGTAAAGTTTATTACTTTTTTTTTTAAGGTAGTTCACAGTATGGAGAAAAGGAATTGGATCCTTGCTCTATCATATTAAAAAATAATCTCCAGGGCTGGCCCCATGGCGCACTCGGGAGAGTGCAGCGCTGGGAGCGCAGTGACGCTCCCGCCGCGGGTTCGGATCCTGTATAGGACTGGCCGGTGCGCTCACTGGCTGAGCGCGGTGCCACGCGGTGTGGGCGACACCGCACCAAGGGTTGTGATCCCGTTACTGGTCACGGAAAAAAAAAAAAAAAAAAAAAAAAAGATAATCTCCAAATAGATCAAAGACCTAAATGTGAAAGGTAAAATTATAAAGCTAATGGAAGAATATGTTGGATAATACCTTTGTGATCTTAGTTTTTTCAAACAAAATTACAAAAGTACAAGCCATAGGAGAGAAATTGATGAATTTGACTAGATGAAGTTATTTCTGTTAAATAAAGAATTCTGCAGAGAAGATTAATGTCTGGGTGACAAAAAGGAGAAGATATTTGTAAATGATGAGGTATTTGGATCTAGAAAAAAAAAGGAAGAAAAAGACAGCAAAATCCATGAGCAAAGATGCAAAGATTCTGAGTAGGCAATTCACAGAAGGGTAAACCTGATAACTTTATGAAGATATGCGCATATTTGCTAGTATTAAGTAAAAACATGAAGATACTACATATCTGATAGCCATCAGACTGGAATCAATTAGAAAGTTCAGTAATAATTCAGCCACAAAAAAGAATGAAATTCTGCCATTCACAGCAACATGGATGAGCTTGGAGAAAATTATGTTAAGTGAAACAAGCCAGGCATGGAAAGAGAAATACCACATGTCCTCACTCATAAGTGGGAGCACAAGAAAAGAAGGAAGGAAAGAAGGGAAGAAGGAAGGAAGGGTCACAATAATGCATTGGACTTTTGGAAGGAGAGAGCAGAACTGTGGTTACTAGAGGTGGGAAATTGGGAGCAGAAGGGGGGTTGAGAAATTGGTTAATGGACACAAGGAATGTTTACATTTTGTAATAATGAACATGCTAATTATCCTGATTTGGTCATCACATACTGTACACAGTTGTTGATATTCAACTATATACCCCGCAAATATGTTTAATCAATTATTTTTCAATAAAAAATAAAATAAAAAGAGAAAGTTCAATAATAACAAGTACTGGTGAGGATATAAGGAAATTGGGAATGCTTGTGCATAGCTGATAGGATAAAAATTAGGTATAGCCATTCTGCAGAACAATCTGGCAGTGCTTAGTGAAATTAATATGACTATACCCACAGGCCAACAACCCAGCAATCCCACTTCATGGTTTATATTGCTGAGAAACTTTGATCATGAGTACAGCAGCATGAGATTCTTCATTGCAGAAATGTTTGCAAAGGTAAAAAGCTGGAAGCCAGCTAAATGCCCCTCAGTGGGAAAATGGAAAAGTAAAATATGGTCTATACATACAATGAAATACTAGGCAGCAGTCCAAAACAATGAATTACATCCACATATAGTAACACTGACATAGCTCAAAAGCTCAAAAGTTGTGTGAAAGAAACATTAGAACATAAAACAATCCTATATAATTTCAAGTAAATATATAATGTATATAATCAGAAAGACATATTAAATACTTAAGAGTGGGTGCTAAGTAAAGGAGAAAAATAGAAGTAGGATAAAGACTATAGAAATAAACAAAAGGTAATAAAAGATTGCCTTTGCTTCATCCAGTAATGAAATTACACCACAAACTAAGGCATTCACGTGACTTAATTATTTTTACCTGCTGTCCTAAAAAGAAAAGAATTTTTTTTAAGTAAAATAAATACAATACAGTATAATGATCTCTTAAGGTTGTATCTGAAGATTAAATGAGTAATTCAGATAAAGCATTTAGCTTAGTGCCTAGCACATACTAAACACTCAATAAATGTTATCTATTGATGCTATTAACACTACTCATGACATAGCTACTACCAATCAATTGGAGTTGGCACTAAAAACCAATTGGATTTAAATGATTTTCCCCCAACGGTTCCTTTCAGGTTTAATATACTGTAGTCCTACTAAAGGGGTAGGCAAATACCACAGCAGGCCCAGAAGCAAGTAGGCAGAAGAAGAGCTGAAACAGCCTTGGGAAATGGGAAAGGCTACTGTCTTGTTTATAGTGTCTTAGGAAACTGTGATGGTTAATTTAAGAGAATACCCATTAGTGAATATACAATGCACAAATTAAGGAAGCAGAGACTACACAAGTAAAAAGTGCTATGAAGCTGGGAGACTCTATGCACTTTGGTATACTTCCTCCAAAAGGATGTTTTCTTTTAGCCTTTTAATTTTTTTTTTCCTTTTTGTCTTTTTTACTGGCCGGTAACGGGATCGCAACCCTCGGTGTCACGCCCGTACCGGGGACCGGCAAGGGGATCACAACCCTCGGTGTTGCGTCCGCACCATGCTCAGCCAGTGAGCGGGAACCGGTCTCCACATGGGATCCAAACCCTCGGCAGGAGCGCCGATGCGCTCTCAAGCGGCGCACTCTCCAGTGCGCCACCGGGCCGGCCCCACCTTTTAATTTTAAGTTATGGAATTGTAGCTGGATTACAAAGTGTGGCTACACTCAGATAGTGTTTGCTTTGGATCA